TCGGTAGTTAGAGATGATGTAATGCTAGTATTTATAATAGGGATGATAATTAGAATGATAATTAAGAAGATGATTGTAGTATGAATGATAATTAAGAAGACGATATGAATAATAATTTGGATGATAATATGAATGGGGATAATAGGGAAGATTATAATCTTAATGTTAGTTAAAATCCTAACCTAAATTTAAATTCAAATTTAGACTTAGAGAACGACTATTTCTTTTATTTACTATATAATATTACCCGGGCTATAGTAGATAGGTATATTGAGTTTGGCTTTTATAGATATTGTTGGTTAGGTATACTATATAGTAATATTAACTTTGAGAATAAGTTTTATATATGTTACCGAAGGGTATTTATAAGGGGGTTATTTTTTAATATTGATGATAATAAAGAGAAGGAATATTGTGACTTGTATCGTCGTAATCCCTCTCTACCTTTGGATAATTGTGGACTGCTACTACCCTATTTTTTAATATAATATTGGGTATGTTATGGTCCTACTTAATGAAATATTTATCCCGACTTTGAATAATCTGTACTACCTTCTCTATTATTACTTTGATAATTTCTTAGATTTGCTGGTATCGAATTTGAATGGGACCCGCTATATTAAGGATTTAAAGATTTTTTAGTTAGAGTTATTCTTAATGTCGATTTTAATATGATTAAGGTATTCGAGGAAGTTTAAAGATAGGATATTATGGAGTATTGCCTATAGTGTAACGAGCGGTGGTTTGAAATGTATATGGCTAATGGTTATTGCCGGTAGTGTTATGCCTGTGATAATAGAAGAGTATCCGGTGATCCTTATTATTTTAATACCGATAATTATTTGGATTTCGGGATTGTTCTTATTGAATTATTAGAGTTGAATTAAATTGAGGAATAATTTATTGTCCGGGTATATATATTTGTTGATGTTTGGGTTGTTAAAGGATTCTAGTATAAATATTTAGGCTATATTATTAATTTTTTACGGGATATTAGTTATATTTATTATTAGTTGCCCCTATTTCCCTGCGATTTCGATATTGTAATCCTTCGGCCTTATAGACCTAGGGATGAACTTTGTGCTGCCCGACGAGTTAGGTAGGCTATGATAGTTAATGTTAATAATATTTGTGTTTGGTTTTATTTCCTTAGGGAAAATTACTTTGGGTATCGAGATATTGAGATTGTTGAGGGCTGTTTTAATAAATTTGAACGGCTTCCTAATGGTAATGTATATAATAATTTAGTTATTTATGATATTAACCCTGATGATTTCCCGGATGACGAGGATTTTAATTTAAATGGCGATAATGAGGATGAAGAAGAAGATAAGGACGATGCTTTTAAATTAGAAGTTGCTGCCCTTCCTAACTTTATAGTTAATTAAGTAGATATAGAATAATTTCGTTAAATATTAGGGGGATATCCTATTTTAATTGCTACTCAAAATCTAGCTAATGTTTAAAACTTAATTAATATATTAGTCTAACCCGCTCCCGGGTAATATTTTCCAATTTAACCTTTTATTAAACCTAGTCCTTTATGTAATACCCCTATAAGAGAATAGGATAGAATTCAACCTATTCTATTATAGGTATTTCTAATATTCTATCCCTGAGGGTAAGCCGATTTTATTGAACTTCGAATCTGTTTGATTGAATATAATGATTATATTTAATATGTATTTAAATAGTATAATAGCTGATTTGTTCGATACTACCGGTTTCCTTTTATTATTTTCAATATTATAATATATTAATAAATTAATTTAAGAAGTTAGTTTTTTGTACGGTCTAGTTGTAGTAGTATAAATAATGAGGGTCTGGCTAGTATTGAAGTATTAAAGGAAGTAGTTGAATTTAATATTCCGGAAGTTTAATGGCTTCTCTATTCGGTCGTTCGATTTATTAATACGATACGCAGTATACGATTATATTGAATATGGAAAAGTTGTAAATTTTATACTTATATTGAGGTATTGGGTATGCTAGTTATATTTATAACGTTTAGTACGGCTGATATATATTGGGAAAGCTTTACTTATTATATATTTAACTATGAAGAGTAGAAAATTATTTCGGCCGATAGTTAGAAACGAATTATAAGGAAGAATTTTAAAGAAAACCTTTATATTGCTATATATTACTTCGAGAGACGTTTTGAATTATTTCGACAATATATTTTGCTTCTAAAGTTTAAGATTTAAGATTGGTGGTGTTGTATTGAGTTTTAGGTACGAAGAAGCGGTTATAATTATAGTGTTTATTGGGTCCCCTATATTGAAGTACCCGAATTAGCTGATAAGAATATTCGCCGGGAATTTGTAAAACTCTGGAGTTATTATGTTACTACTATTAACCTAAAATTAGAAAGAATTGGTTAGTAAGGTGAAGGGGATTCTCTATTTGTTATTATTAGTAATAATGAAGGCGAATTCCTTCCTACCTTCGATTTTCTATCCCGAATAGTTGACTGTATGCAGTGCTATAGCCGGTATATAAATGATTATTATTTTCGAATTAAACGATTTAATTAGGGTACTCTTTAGTTTAATAATTGTATTCTTAAGATTTATCGTTTCTACTTTCTAAAAAATCATTATCCTGATCTATATTTTATATAAAATTTTAACCTAAAGTATTAGTTATATAATGGGGAAAGAAATAATAATTATATGAACAATTATAACCGGATAGTTACTATTGGATGGTATATAAATACGGATCTATAGCCTTATACTAGTTATAACGCTATTATTAATTATATCGCTAAATATTATTTAAAAGTAGAAAAGCAATTTAGACTTTTCAAAGAGATTACTTAATAGATTGTACCTTATATTGCTTCTAATAATTATATTGTTTCTTTTGCTATAAAAATAATGAATTAATTTATTATTAAACGAGATTAGTCTGTTTAAGAAATTAGTTATTTACTATTTGGCTTACTTCTAGAATAGAGTATTTGAATTATTATTAATATAGATTACCGTAATTTAAATAGATTTCTTGGACTGGGAATGCTTATTAGATAAGGTTAGTAAATCTAGATTTGTATTTAGTATATTAAGTATTTATTTCGCCCCAATAACTTCGAGAATATTAATTATTTTGAGTAGCTAATTCGGTTCGATATTGCTAATAATTAATGTTTTAGAGGCCGGGCTAAGAAGAAGGTATTAAATTACTACCTAATTTATAAATTTGAGGATGATAATTAAAACGAAGATTGGTGTAAAGTTAAATTAATATTATATTATCCCTATCGTACTTATATTGAATTGTTTGGTATTATAAACCGGGATGGAGTTCGGGAAGAGTTAGAGATTTATTCTAATATACATTTAATTTGTATAGAGGTTTATATTAGGGATTTGGATCACCCTTATAATTACTACGGTAGTATACCTAATGGCGAACCTGATGACGATTTTGAACCCCCTGCCGAATAGGAAAGGTAGAGAGAGTTATGGCAAGTTTTAGTTAGAGATCTTCCTTATTATTAATGAGTTGAAGATAACGGCGACTTTGGTATATTCGGTCATTATAATTAAAATATTTTATATAATTGGTATAATTATTTAGGTTATTAAGATTTGCTAGAGTTGCGATGGGATTATTAGAAGAATATAAAAGTTAATAATTTATAGTTAGTAGCCGATATTCCTACTCTTGTATCGCAGGCTATTTAAAATTTCAATGCGGAATAAAAGGTTATTTTTGACTAGTTTGTTCGTTATTATTAGTCTATTTTTAATTATAATAATAATATTTAGTAGTATTTATAAATCCTACTTTTACTTTTATAGGTTAATAGTTACAGAAGTATTAGAAAGTCTTTTCTTATTAAGGTATTATTATTCAAATTCGAATAGATAGTTATAGTATATAATAAGACTTTACTAATTGTTAAATATGCTCCAACGGGGGTAGTAGCTAATAGTATTAATAGTTAAACTTTGTATTTTTTGTTTAAATTCCCTATTACTCCTAAGAATATTAATTAAAACGATTTTGAGGTAGCTATTGTAGTATTGGAAAGTATTGATCTAACCTAATTTTAATGTTAATTATGGCTGTATTATTACTTTATTATTAATAAAAAGTTTATGTTAGGACTTCGAACTCTCAATTTTATTAATTAAAGACTATATTAGGCCTTCCCTAAATCTTAGAACCAATTATTCGGTAGTAGAAGTATTCTTCTACTTAGTAATTTTTATTAATTACCCCTAGTTAGATAGAAATTGTTATTTTATGATTAGTAAATTTTACCTACTATTGAGGCTATCGGTCGTATATATTACTATACCTTTAATAAGATTATTGAATTATAGTAAATTATATGGCAATAGGGTAATGATTAAATTGGATTTAGGGCGCCGTTCGAAGGATTACGAAGTAATTAGTTTATTCGATAATATTGGGAATTACTTTATTCTCGAATATAGTTAAGGCTACTACTAAATGAGTAAATTAAATTTGTTAATGCTTTACGTATTTACCCTAAGCGTAAAGACGTTGTAGTGTATAATATTTAGTATATGGAAGTATTGAATCAATTATATTTTATTTTCCCTATTGAATACGCTGGCCTTAGTACTAAAGATGTGGATCCTACTAATGTTAATAATCTATAATTCGAGCTCCTATTGATAATAGGTAGTAGGGTTATACTTATTAAGAATCTTTGGACTAAGGTTAGCTTAATTAACGGTGCTTTAGGTACTATTTTCAATATTGTATAGGATTCTAACCTTCCTAATTAAGATGTTATTAACGAATAATACCCTTACGGTAATCTATTTATTATACTCGTTAAATTTGATCGGTATATTAGGCTTTCTTGCTTCCTTAATTAAGAAGACCAAAATCGTTTCTGCAATATCGTTCCTATCTTCTAAATTAAGCGAAAATTTAAGTCTCACCGAAATACCTAGTATACGAGAATATAATTTCCTTTAGTTATTATATATACTATTATAGTATATAAAGCATAAGGTTCTACCCTTAATATAGCTATATTAGATATTTTAAAGAGGGACTTTCAAGTTGGACTTACATATGTGGCGTGTAGTAGAGTCAAGACTTTACAAGGCCTTATATTTGATACTCCTTTCGATTTGAGCGCTCTACGCATAATATTTAACTATATATTTGTTATGAAAGCAATTAATAAAGTAAGGAGATTACTAGAGAAATTTCTAGTCTTAAGTATTTAAATACTAAGATTCCGGGCATCCGGTATTACTACTTCCAATTCAACCTTAGATAAATATAATATAAATAATATTTTCAAGCGTACTTTCTATTGACTATATTTATAGTTACTCCTTCTATTTCATTTTATATCTAATATTTAAATTCTTTCTCTTTCTCTCCTTCCTCTCCCTTTCCCTTTCCTTCTCCCTCTTTCTTTTATATTCGAATTTTTATTACTTTTATTAGTTATTAATTATTAATTATTAATTATCAACTATTAACTATTAACCCCTAGCGCTACTATATTAATTATATTTAAAAACAATAATTTCGAATTCGAGCAGTGCTTTAATAATATATTAAAAGAAGAAGAGGAGCGTTGTAACTTGCTTACTATTAAGCGCCAATGTACCACTACTAGAGGTTAGGTTAGTACCAAAACGGTATTACTAGCCAAAAATAACCTTCTTCATAAAAAGAAGAAAATTACGGTTGCCCCTAACCTTTATTTTCCTATCCATTCAAAGTAGTACGTTACCTTTATTATTAATTATAATTTAGATTATTCTAACTTAGAATTTAGGTAGCTAATTCTTACTATTAGTTTAGAGATATAACGAGAAAAAAAAAAAAAAAAAAAAAAAAAAGAAAGGAGTTTAGCTTGACTTATTCCGCGTACCCTAGTCGAATACCTTATGGTATACCCTTTTTTAGAGCAACCGTTAATAGTACCGAGAGATAGTACGTTTTACGGCGGTCTTACATCTCCTGTTTCCCCGGAAACGGCCTATATATAGTTAATACTAGAAGATTGGAAGATGAGAAGGATTTGAGAGAGGTTAGTAGTATAATAACTGAGCGTTTAAAGAAGAAATAAGGCACAAGCAGGGAATTAAACGTACGAACTCTCTAGACTTATACTAGTAGTAGTTACGGGCGTCCCCTTAACCGCTATACTACGGGCGTCCCTATAGTACTCCCGGTAGGGTTAGTGATAGTAAGGTAGTTAGAAGTTGATTATATTGCTTAATTGGAGCGTTTTAAGTATATTTGCTAAGTCTAGTTGGGTTTATAGGCAAAATAATAGAAAGATTCGCGGAAGGGGTTAGATCTAGTAATGTTTTGGTTAGTATTGTGCCCCTAAGTGCGAATTCGAATTGCCAAGAGCCTTCCCGTACTTTCCGTCTTGGCATCTCTTGGCATATGGATTCTACTGGCTTACGTAATGTGGATCTAAAGCACGCTTCAATATACACCGGGCATTACTTGAGCTGAGGATCCAGCATCGCACCGGTGTCTGAGAACTATTTTATATTCAATTCCCTAATATTTATAGTATTATTAGACGTTATTTAAGGTTTAGAATAGTTCGTACGGATATATACTACTATTCTAGAGAGAAAGATTATTTTAAAGGAAGTATACCATTAATATAATAGCGATTTCTATAAGGAATAGACCTTTATTCTCTCCGTCCCTTTTCTTCTATAGCCGAATTCTAATAATAATTACCTTCGTATTTCCTTCCTTCGCTCTTTTTATTAGGGTTTCTATTATAATATGATTGTTGATATTAATTTAGGGTATACCTCGGACTAGTACGCCTACAATATTTATAAGAATAAAGGTATTTAGACTAAAGATTTCTTTAGCGTATATTTAATTTTATTAGTATTAATTATATATAGATTTATTAAATATAATTATATAGTCTCTAACTATTAATATTCTAATAACTATACGGATTATTAAATTAAGTTCCTTCTTATGTAAATTTATAATTAGGGTTGTTTTTGTATTTTTATTCGAGCGGTTTATAAATTCGGTAGTAATTATTATTCCTTTAATTATAAATTACGATTCGAAGTTAGAAGGGGTAGATTTTTTAATAATAATAGTAGGTAGTGATTAGAGGGTAGTACTAATTTTACTTAGGACGGCTTTTATTATAATATTAATTTAATATTTTAGTACTTTTTAAACGCTTTTTTTAATCTCCTTTAGAATATCCTTTTTTAGGTTATTAAAATCCTTTTTAGTAATAAATTAATCAGTTCTAACTTTATTAACCTTAAATCACAAAGACCCATTTTTCTTAATACGTACCTTTATAAATTCGAAAAATAATTCTTAAACCTAACGTTAATCCTCGGTCGAAATAATATTATAATTTACAAATTTATTTATTTTAATAATAGATATTTTTAGTATTTTATTATCTTTTGCCGTTTTTTCCGAAGTCTTCGTAGTAAATACGGCTTCAGGGTCGTTATATATTGAGATTTCCGCGAGCGGGTTGTAGACGCTATCTTTAAACTTACGAATACCGCTATCGATAATTATTAGTAACGATAATATAACGCTATTATTACGCTTATTGCAGGATATTGTAAGGGATATAAACGACCCTCCTAAATCGATTGCCGTTGTTAGTTTCCGTTTTGGAGCACTCCTCGACTAGAAATCGGCGTTTCCGGTTTTGGCGTCGTTTTGAGTAGGTTAATTATTCTATAGTCTTTTGAATATATCCTTAAATAGGGCTTAATTATTACCCTATTATTAAATAATTTATTATAGTTTAATAGTTTTATTAAAGGTATAGTAATAATTATAATTACCAGCTTTAATTATTAATAAGATTATTTAATTATAAAAAAAGGGAACGCCGATTTCTGGTCGAGGAGTGCTCCAAAGCGAAAATTAATAACGGCAATCGATTTAGGAGGGTCGTTTATATCCTTTATAATATCCTACAACGAATATAGTTATAGCGTTACATCGTCGTTACCGATAATTATCGATAGCAGTACTTATAAGTTCAAAATAGTATTTATAACCCGTTTATGGAAATTTTAATTTATAACGACCTTAAAATTATATTTACTGCGAAGATTTTAGAAAAAACGGGAGGAAATAATAAAAGATTAAAGATATTTATTATTAAAGTGAATAAATTTGCGGACTATAATACTATTTTAACCGAGGACCGATGCTAAGTTCGAAAATTACTTTTCAAATTCGCGAAGGTACGTATTGAAAAAAGTAGGTCCCCGCGACCTAAGGCTAATAAGGTTGGAACCAACTAATTTATTACTAAAAAGGATTTTGATAACTTGAAGAAGGATGTTCTGAAGGAAATTAAAAAAGGTATTTAAAAAGTACCGAAGTATTAGACCAATATTATAGCGAAAGTTATTCCGAACAAAATTAATACTACCCTCTAATAACTACCTACTATTATTATTAAAAAATTTACCCCTTCTAACTTCGAATCGTAATTTATAATTAAAGGAGTAACGATTGCCGCTATTATAGGGCGAGCCTGTGACTGTTATCTGGTCGCGGCATTACTACGGTTATAGTTGCTGGTTGATGCGCGTTCTCTAATTGGTTGACCTATTTAGCCTTACTACTACTACAACGGCTACTAGGTCTACGCGGGCCCCCTAATTAGCTATATACTCCCGGAGGCTCCGGTTACGTATACCAAAAATATAGTTCATCCTCGCCTATATAGAATGAACCGCTACGCACAAATTCTATAGTTTCCCTTCTTCCTTATACAATTACACAAATTATATTCTACTCCATACGTTTAATATCGCCTTACCCCGTAATAATTAATTACACCTTACTATTATACTACGAACGTACTTTACTATAAGAAGGAAGTACGTATTTTAATACTATTTTACAACGCTATTAATCGCTAAAAACCCTACAACCTACTAAATTCAGTAGAGCCTATAATTCTTAATAATAATATTATTATTACCGAGGAAAATACCTTCCTAGAAGTATTAAATAAGGATATCGACGTTCTAAATACTCCTTAAAATAATAAACCTAAGAATTCTAATCCGCCGATAAATAAAAATGTTTATTTAATTGTATTAGAAAGCGTACTATATAATTATACTATTGAATATTTTATTAATATTATTATAAAAGATAAGTCCAAACCCCTCCAAACCCTTAGAAAATCCCTTATTAATACTACTATCCTAATAGATAATAGTACCTTCCTTTCCGTTATTTCCTTAATTATTTAAATAGTTTAAATACTTAACCTTTTTAACAATAATTTTGCGAACTAACTTATAGAATTCGAAAGTTTACTCTATATAAAAAGAATTAAGAATAAAGAGGTTAAGATAAACCTCGATAACGGTTTAGTAGAATTGAATATTATCATAGCTAATTAAAGTATAAATAACAATAAAAATAGCCGTACTAGTGGAGGATTAAGCGTAGGAAGCGGAAGCTCTTTAAGAAATAATTCGGGGATTACCTATATAATTAGTACTACTAAGGCTCCTTTTAAAATTGCAATTGTCTTTAAGAAAACGCTATTCTCTGACTTAAACCTATTCATAACTCATTAAAAGAACCCTATTCTACGTAATAAAGCGTATATTATTTAAAAAAGTGAGATCAGTCACAGGCATTGCTGCCATGTTCCTGTATATAGATGGGTGCTGCACTGCAGTAGTGCAGCCAGCTTACAGCTGTCTGGGTGCAGTACAGCAGTTACGTGCAGCCACGTGCACACGTGCTGTGGTCCGTGTACCGGGCCCCCACAGCGTGCCCTACATAGTTCTCGTGCGCGCACAGGATTCTCTTCCTGTCCTTCGTACAACAATCAAAGTCTTAGCTTAGTGCTTGCTCGCGCCCCGTGACAGATCTTTATAGTATAGGAGCTAGACTACTTCCACTTCCCTAACGAATATACTAAAATCCTCTTTACTAATTATTTATTAAACTTTAAAGTAATTGTCACCCTTAAGAAGGATTTAATAACTATTTTACTCGAACCTAACGTATTTAATAAGTAAAAATAGTAAATTAGTAGAGAATTTATTAAGTTCCTAGACTCTTACTATAATAATATTAACCTAAAATTCGATACTACGTAGTACTTTAACGAATTTAAATAGGGTAATAAATATTTTACTAATTTTAAAACAAAGTTCGTTAAAACGGCTGATTATTACTAATTCAATAAAACTATAAAGATTTA